TAAAAAAAGGGAAAGGGAAAGAAGAGAAGGCAGATGATCTCATAGGGAAAGGAAATGAATGCCTATAAACAAAAGACAACTGTCGATCCATATGGTCAGTGTATGACAAAAAATTCCAAAAAAAGTAAATAGCCACAAGATTTTTCATAGCGCCTCCTCAGCTTTCCTCCTTTTCTATTAGTCCTCTTTCAATGCATTGCTTTCTCCACTCCCAACTCCTAGAATACACTCAATAACAATGACCTCTTTATATGATAAGGCACACCACACATTATGCACGAGATTCCATTGGTACAAGCAGCCCTTTTCAATTTCCTTTTATTAGCTTTATAAATAAAAATTCATTGCCACTTTCTTAAGACAAACAGGAAAAAAGGGGGAGGGGGAGGGAAGGCAAGGATTTAATCTTTAAATAAATTATCACTAATCTTTTTTTCAGATGTACAAAGTTTAAACTTTAAAAAAATGTTTTAAGTAGTTCTTTTTAAAAATTGATGCTTTTTAATATCATAATCATATCTTGAGATATCCCCCGGATTGTCTTCCATTTTAACAAAGGGAATTAAATATAAGTGACCAAAATTGTGGCTGTACCTGTCAAATTATAAAAAAAAAGTCATCTGTTGTCCTCCCAATCCCTTAACAAGAGAGAGGCATGTTTCATCAGTTGTCCTCTGACACTAATCAAGTCAAGTCAGCAAGCAATTATTAAGCACCTAATATGTGCCAGGTACTGTGCTAAGCACTAGGAATACAAAGAAAAGACAAACCAGTCCCTGCTTTTAAGAAGCTCACATTTTAATGGGGAAACAACATGTAAACAACTATATATAAACAGGGTAAGTTGGAGATAACACGGGAAAGGTTTCTTGCAGATGAAATCTAGCAGATGCTCAGAGGGAGCCAAAGAAGCCAGGAGTCAGAGATGAGGTGAGAGAGGGTTCCAAACATGGAGGACTGCCAGTGAAAATGCCTGGAATTGGGAGATGGAGTGTTGTGTTTGAAGGAGAGTAAAAGGACCTTGTCATAGGAATGCAGAATACATGGACTTGGCTCAGGTCTAAAAAGAATGGAAAAGAAGCACAGGGTCAAGTTATGAGAGGCTTTAAAACTCAAACAAAGGATTTGATATTTGATATCGGAGGTAATAGGGAGCCACTGGAGTCTATTGGATTGGGAGTTGGTGGTAGTATTGCATTTGATCCAAGTTCAGCCTTAAATGTCACTTTCATTCTCATTTTTGGTATGATTGTGTATGTATTTCTCTAATTCTTTTTCCCTTCACTCTGCTTCATTTCATACCAAGTTTTCATGTTTCTCTTAATTCTTCATATTCATTGTTTCTTGTGGTTTATCTTGTGATAAAACACTATAGTTTTATCAACTATTCTTAAATCTGTGGGTGCCCATTCTGTTTCCAGTCATGCTAACACACACACTGACAGACACACACAGACACAGACACACACACACACACACACACACACACACACGATTGCTGTGAAATAAAGGCATGGAAACTTTATTTCTTTTTGAGTCTTTGATTTCCTTGGAAGTATTCGCTGAGTAGTGGGATCATTGGGTCAAAGACTATAAACAGTTTACCAGAATTTCTCACATAATTCCAAATTGTTTTCCACAATGTATGGATCCCGTCTCAGTTCTACCAACTAGTGCATCCCTTTCTACACCACTATGGGGGAAATAAACAAAAAGAAAAGAAAATGCTTGGAACAGATTTTCAATCAAGCAAAACATACATCCCCATTGGTCATGTCCAAAGACAATATGCTCAGTCTGCAATCTAAGTGCATTACTTCTCTGTTAGGATGTTGGTAGTATGCTTCAGCATCAGTCTTCTGAAATCATAGCTGGTCCTTACATTGATCAGATTTCTTTAGTCTTGGAAGGTTGTTTGTTTTTACAACGTTATACAAATTATTTTCCTTGGCTGCTCATTTCACTTTTCTTCAGTTCACAAAAATTTTCCAAGGTTTCACTGAAATCACCCCTTTCATCATTTCTTATAACACAATAGTATTCCTTTACATTCACTTTGAATAATTTGTTCAGTTATTCCTTAATTATGGGCTCTCCCTTAATTTCTAGCTCTTTGCCATTTTAAAAAGAGCTGTTATAAATATTTGTGTACATCGAAAACTTTATCTCCTTTCTTGATCTATTTGGAGTATAGTGCTAGTAGTCCGTCAGTAACTTTTACTAAGTACCTATTATTTGCCAGGCACTATGATAATACTAGGGATGCAAAGAAGGGCAAAAGATAGCCCTTGCCCTCAAGGAGCTTGCAATCTAATAGAGGAGTCAATAGGCAAACAACTATGTACAAACTAAATTCAGGATAAATAGGAAGTAATAAACAGAGAGAAGGCACTAGAAATAAGAGGGATTGGAAAACTTCCTGTAGAAGGTAGGATCTTAGCTAGGACTTGATGGAAACTAGGGTTAGGTGGAGTTGAGGAGAGAAAGCATTCCAAGCATGGGGGATAGCCAATGAAAATGGCCAGAACTGAGAAAGCATCTAATTCAAGTGATAGAAAGGAGGCTAGTATCAAAGAATGTGGGTGTGGGTGTGCATGTGTTTAAGAGGTATAAGATTTAAGAAGATTTGAAAGGGGTGTGTGTGTGAAAGAGAGAGAGAGAGAGAGAGAGAGAGAGAGAGAGAGAGAGAGAGAGAGAGAGAGAGAGAGAGAAGAGGGGTATAGTGCTTTGAACACCAAACAGATGATTTCGTATTGATCCTGGAGGTTATAGGGAATTACTAGAGTTTATTCAGTAGAAAGGAGACATGGTTGGCCCTGGGTTTTAGGAAAATTACTTTGGAGGCTGAATGGAAGATGGATTGGAGTGAGAAGAAGTTCATGGCAGGCATACCAACCAGCAGGCTATTGCAATAGTGCAGATATGAGCAAATGAGGACCTGCACCAGGATGGTGAAAGTGTCAGAGGAGAGAAGTGGGGCACATTTGAGAGATGGTGCAAAGGTGAGATCAACAGACCTTGGCAACAGATTGGATATAGGGGTTAAAGATAGTGAGGAGTTAAGGATGCCTCCTAGGCTATGAACCTGAGGGACTGGGAGGATGCTGTTGCCTTCTGCAGTCATAGGGAAGGTAGGGGGAAGATAATGAGTTCTGTTTTGGACATGTTGAGTTGTAGATGTCTACTGGACATCCAGTTCAAGATGTTAAATAAGTAGTTGGAGATATGAGACTAGATGTCATTAGAGAGGTTAAGTGCTGGATAAGGAGATTTGAGAATAAGTATAGAGATGATAACTGAATCCATTAAAGTCAATGAAAAAGCATCAAGTGAAGTTGTAGAGAGGGAGAAGAGAAGAGGACCAGGACAGGACCCTGTGGGACACCCATAGTTAGTAGGCATGACCTCAATAACTATGCACTTAGCCCAGTGCCTGGCATGTAGTAGTCACTTAATAAATGTTTATTGAATTGAATTCAAACTCAGTGTCCAGCAAAGCAAACTCAGAAGGAGAGGTCAGAGAGGTGGGAGAAGAACCAGGAGTGTGTTCCCAAAACGCCTGGAGGAAAGAGAGTATCAGTGAGAAGGTGACATCACAGATCCTCTTAAGGCCTTTCCTCGTATCAATGAATACTTTCTAGCACCTGAACTAACCTGGTCATGCCCCTTTCATTATCATTAGTTCTTGCAGCTGTCACAATGACAAATTCAATATGTCCATTCTCATATTTGCTCAGGAAACAAATCGGTGCATTAGGAGCTACTTAAGCAGAAAACATGGCTCTGCCCTCCTCTCTTTCTTTTTCCCTTACAGGTCCCCAAGCTCCAATAATGTCACACTTAATTGTCAGGATCTGCTATCATGGCGCATTTCATTAACAAGCATTCTATCTTACATCTGTACAGCCCATTACAGTTTACTCAGCACTCTCACAATCATTACCTCACTTTATCCTCCCAACAACCCTGGGAAGGAGATAGCACAAGTCCTCCTCCCCATTTTACTGATGAGGAAATGGCTTACGAAATTTAAATGACTTGCCCAAAGTAACTTCTGCTAAGAAACATGTGGACCAGGACCCGGTCAAATTACTCTCTTTGTACATGTTGATTGCTTCTGTAATAAAGCAGAGATTTAATTATAATAATAGCTGCCATTGATAAGGCACTTTATGATTTTCAAGCGTCTTTCATATCCTTTATCTCTTTGGATCCTCACAATAGTCTTAAGAAGTGAATGTTACAGAACTAAGCATCTGTATGGTACCGATGAGAAACCACAGGCTGAGAAGGGTGCAATGATCTGGGCGGGGGGGAGGGAGAAATAGGGGTGGTCTCACTACTAGTTCATGAAACAAGGATTGAACCCAGATCTCCCTGACTCCAAGTCCAGAGTGGTGTGTATACATGTATATATATATCTGTGTGTGTGTGTGTGTATATATACACACATATATATACATGTATATATACATATATATATACACACATATATACATATATATACATATATACATACATATGTATATATATATCATACTGCATTCCTTCCCCCTGGATCCTAAGAGTTTCTGATTTATATATGTTATCTATGAGATCATTTCATAACATACAAATTTACCATTTAAAATTCTCTTTCCAAGAACAACTATCACAAAACCAATGAAAATGAATGTTGCAGAATTACAAGAATAACTTTGTTCCCAAAGAAGAGATATGAAAAGATTCCTCCCCCATCTTTTGCAGAGTTGTAGGGGGTAGGGGTCATGATTATTGAACACTGGAAATATTGTTGGGTTTTTTTGTTTTTGGTGTATTGATTAGTTTTGCTGATATTTTTCTCTTTTCCTCTCTACCTTTTATCTTTAATTTTTGTTGTTGTTGTTATATTGTTGGCTTTTTTGGAGGTGAAGAAAGACTATAGGGGGGAGATTAGGTAATGCAAAAACAAAAGATATCAATGAATTTTTGTTTAAAATAAAATAAAATTATTTTTCCAGCTGAAAAACTTCATAAAGAACTACGATGGGGCAGCAGCTGCATCCTTCTCCCGGGCTGTGGAGACTGTGGAAGCCAACGTTCGATGGCAAAAGTATTACAAAGAAGAACTTTTCCATTGGTTACGAAAAGCCCTCAGGCACTAGTCTGTCTCTCTTAAAGACAATGTAACATGAAATACCAGGAGAGGAAAGTAGCATCATTCAAAGGGAAATGCTTCACAGCAAAATGGCAAAGACAAGATCGGATTTGCAGGGTGTTTGGTGGGGAAGGGTCATTTTCGTTTTGTTCTCTTTTCACTTTGTTTTGTACGGGGCTTCTTCCTATCTATGAAGGTAAAATTCTTCTGTCAGAAGTAACCATGGTAGCATATGCTACTTACTGGCCCTCACTGTACAGGACCAAATACGATACCCAATGGTGCATGTTGACATCAGTCTGGAAGACAACAGTTCTGAGTAATTTGTGCATGGTCATAGGGTCCTGCCCATAATTCCAGCATGCGTTTCTTCAGTTTTGTATGTGAACTTATGTTACATCCAGGATGGGCATTATGCAAAAGCACAAAGAAGATCTATGACAATCAGTGTCATCATGAAAGAAGAAAAAAGGGGGGATTCTATAGGATCCCCAATATTTACATGATGTGAAACAATCCTTGCAGGATTGGTACCAATTATTGAGCACTTAGATTGTCTATCAGTGATTATCAGGATGCCAACTCTTTCTTTGAGTTAATACTATGTTCACATAGAATGCATTTAGATACTGTATAGATATCTGTATATCTCTAGTGGAAAGCACCACATATATATGGTATACTATATTCTCCACATGTTGAAAACAATGAACCTCTTTTGATCAATGAAAAGTTCTCTATTTCTAAACTTATGCAAACTTTGAAGCTGCTTGGAAAGACTCTCTTGCCTCTCGGGGAATTAAGGCAGTAAACATTCAGGATGGTTCCCTCAAACTGCTATGGGTTCTTTAGCCATTTTCATGGATGATGGGTCTTAGTCCAGTGCATAGACATGAAACTCAAACCAATCAGGTGTACCAACAGGTCGTTCATTCACTTGAATGCTATAACACAAAAAGGTAGATAATGTTTTCATGGTTGGGATAGAGAGAGGAGTGCTCCTCCCTCCTCCCATAAAGAAAACAGAGGAAAAAAAAGAAAATACATGTTGTCAAATCTAAGTATTGTTGTTGTACTCAATTTTTCCATTTCATAAATGTACATGCATAGATGTATTTATAGTTCCCAGTGCAGAGAATGTGATTTTTTTCTTATGTTATTTTATTTCATGTGTCACTTTAAAGTAACCTAGGAGATGAATGCTATTTTAGAATCTCCCTGAGTGCCTGTATTTGTGTGTGTCCTCCCAATCTTCCATCAAGCAGCCATACCTCAGAGAGTCTACTAGTGTTTAATGACCTTTGACACCAGTTGTGCCATCTGTTAGGGATGAAAAGTGACTCTTCTTGTGTCATTGTATAAAGCTTTTCTTTTGCAAAGACTTTGCCGTGCTGCCCAAGAAGGCACAGAATAGCCCTTTCCGTAGTTTTATGTCAAAGAAAAGTCATTTGTGTTTGAAATGTTATTTCTGCTTGGTAGAAACAACCATTGGTCAAACTCCACCCAGTTCAGATTTAAATTGATCATTAGCAATTATCAGCCAGATCTATTGTGTGTAAAAAATGAATGATGCATACTGCTTGTAAACCAAGTGCTTGTGAATTAATCCCTTATGGGTGGTTGCCACTCTTAGCAAGATCTCCTTGCAAACTACCAAAACAAGTACCAGTATCTTGAAGATATGTCGAATGCTAGTAAAATATTAAATCTTAATAACTAGAGCCATAAATTAATTTGAAATTGGTAGGAAAGAGGTACAATTTCCCTCAACCATATAACAAGCTAACTCCTGAAATTGAATTTCATTCTTTTGGCATTAATATCCATCACCTCTCTTTGAATTTCCCAACAGTGCATTCATGTAATACACATCAACATTAAACGTTCTGCATGAAGGCATGAATATGGTGTTAGCACGCCTTTTTGATGTCTGCTGCCAAGTCTTCTAAATATCAACTTATTGACATGAACTGATATAACTCAGTTACTGTTGTGAAGAAATGTTGTCAAAAAGTGTCTCCTCTACCAATACCTACTATGTGCATCTGCAAACTACTTAATCAGGAATGCTAAGTCCATATAATAAGAATATGTACATTCCAGTCTAACGTACTGGTCGCAATCTTGGACCCATGCCACGGATTGATCACCGATGGGTTAATGTGCTGGGCAAATTGAAACAAAAGTATTATAAGTGAACATCCTGTTTATGTGAAATGAATTATAGGGAATTTCTTGCATTTCCCCTTACTGATCTGTTTATCTAATCAATAATGCCTTTTTATTAAGCTGAGTGGTTTTTAGTTACTCTGTGAATAATTTTTACTGCTCTGCAAATATTTTAGTGGCCTTGAGCAAGTACAATATCAAATTCTAAGTGTATATTTGTACATATTGTTCAATACCTCATATTGTCCTTGCTCTGCAGTACAGTAGTGAGAGGGATAAGTTGATATTTCTGTTTTATTCCTCATTTCTTCATAGTTTAGTCTCTTCATTATTTTAAACTATGCTAGGCTTCACTTTTTTCCCCCAGTAACTAAGATACATTGAGGTTTTTTTTTTTAAATAATAAAATAACCATATTACAGCTCCTGAAAACATTTGTAAAATATTCTTATAAAATTCTGTTTATATATATTATATGTTTTGTTCATTGTTCTCCCTTTTTTTTTTAAATTTTTTCATGAAAATAACTTGTTTGAGAGTGTTTACCACTTGGGCTGCAAGTTGTAGATTCACTTTATTTTAATGGCCTGATGTAGGTCAAAATATATTTTTTTATTCCAGAAAGGAAAGATTAACTTAGTCCCTAAAATGGGAAATTATCAAGGAGAATAAAGCATGCAATCATTGTAAAGAGAAGCGGCATGGCGTAATGGACAGAGGACTGGGCTTGAAATGGATATATCCTGTGTTAAATTCTCACCTCTGACACTTCTTGGCTTTATGACCCCAGAGAAGCCACTTTGTTTACCAGTGCCCCAGGTAACAACCTAAAACAAATACTTACTTATAGGCAATTTGTCATCCTTCATTGGTGGAGGCAGTTTCCATACCGGGAGTTTTCTCTACACAGATAAAAATTATAGTTCTGGACCAAAGCATATTAAAACACAATTTTTATCAAAATATTTCGCTTTGAGATTTTGATAGCCAATTTTAAAAGCTAAGAGTCTATCAGTGCTTGATCTGTGGTAACAGATCTCAGCTGTGTGTTTAGAGTTGCTTATTTAGTTTGATTTCTAAGGGACTCATACAATTTTGTATCATGCTTACCCAGTATCATAAGTGACCCTTTGCAAATGTCATAATAATCGTTTACTTTTTTGTATTGCTTTGTTTTAAAAGTATTTTTATGTACATCTTCATTTTATCCTCATAGTTACCTATGGGAGAAGTTGGACAGATATCATTGTAATTCTGATTGTAGATATGAGAAAAGTGAAAATCAAAGGTATAACATAACTCATGATATCAGCTAGTTATCAAGAAAGCTAGCATTGGAACCCAACATCTCTTTGAGTATTCTTTTCCCTTCACTACCTTGCTTCCCTACATATTACATAGTATAATACACATAACTTTAAGCATTGTCATTTCATTGAAAAGCATGCCAAACACTTGAAGAAAAGATAAGACATATTAAAATATATACCATATGGCTATTTTACATGGATGCATATCCAAATGAAATTTTAAAAATGAAAATTTTAAAAATTCCATCCATTATCTCTAAATTTGATCTATATGACACCAAAAATCTAGATATTGGGAAATATTTAGAAATGGCTGGATATTTGGAAGAGATCAAATTTATGAATAATATTTTTCACTTTTTAGCTCTTGTGTAGCCTGCTGTAGACATGGCCTCAAGGTTTTAGTTTTCTTAATTAGCAATCTGGTTTATTCTTATTGGAAATCTTCCTAGGCGATGGAGATATCTTCAGGTAACTCACTATGTAGAGTGAAATGATGAAATCATGTCAGTGTAAATCATTGATGGTAACATATGGGAGTCTCATTCTCTCAATATCAACTTTTTTTTTTTGCAAAAGTCTTTGCAAATGGGCTCAGTTATATTGAGAAACTGAGATATGCTTTTGTCTGCATCCCATTAGGTACAGTAAGTCAAAACTAAGGAAGGCTTTCATAGGATATTTCATTGTACATATTGCATAGATTTAAATTCCATTAATATCATCATTACTGATAATTTTTTCCCTTAAAGAAGTGATAGTATTTACAGGTGTTTACATTTATCTTCTTAAATACTTTTGAGGATACAAGGACTATAGCTGTGACCAGTAGAAGACCTAGGAAATGGAAAATGAATATATTGGCACCCATTTTCCCTTAACAAGGAGTGACGAAGTGAGTTATGTGACACTATGATTTGTGATAAATGTGACAATAGTTGTACAAGTAGTAATCCCATCATTACCTAGTTCTCAGAAAAGGTATTTAGGTAGCTTTTTTATTCCATTTCAGAGCAACTAATACTTTATGCAGCAACAGATGATGGTATACAGAGCTACACGTAACATCTTAAAAGTGTATCAGAAGATCATTAATTTGGACTCAGTTGTGAGCTAAGTTGTCTCTCCTGATACCTTAAGGATCTGTAATTTTGTCAGTTTGGGTACTCCTTCCATTGACCTCACCCCTATGACTTTATTCTATTGTCTTAGAGAGTTGGTTTGATTAGAAAATTCATCATGTTGCCAACCTGCTGAGGTTCTTATCTTTACATTACTTTTGAAAGAATATTTGGTAAGCTAACGAATAATTTCAGTAAGTTGACAGGTAAATGAGTAAGCCTACTTAAAAAACAAACTTTAAAAAACTCTTAAAACCTTTCTACATTTTTCCATAAACTCTATGCTAATTAGTGGATCAGTCATTTTTTCAGTCATGTTCTACTGTTAGTGCCCCCATTTGGGGCTTTCTTGGTAAAGATACTGGAGTGGTTTGCCATTTCCTTCTCCAGCTCATTTTACAGATGAGGAAACTGACCAAAAATAGGGTTAAGTGACTTGCCGAGGTTCACACAGCTAATAAGTGTCTGAAACCAGATTTGAACCCACAAAGATGAGTCTTGGTGACTCCAAGCCTAGCACTCTATCCATTGAGTCACCTACCTGCCCAACTAGTTATCTACTACTCTTATGTATTTATCAAAATAGTTCAGTAGGACATTACTAGGTCTTCTCTGTCCAAATTACTATTTACATATGATTATAATATTTCTTTCAAATTATTACATCATCCAGACTTTTGTGTAATTCAAAGTGAATGAGGTTTTACCCAATTTCTGTGGATTAGTGAGGCTTGACCAACTTTGAGTCCATTTCTAGCTTTGCCTTCATAATTATTCTATCTGTGTTGTGTTACTTGTTGATTCAGGACCAGATAACTTGAAAAAAAAAAAAAGAAAGAAAGAAAGAACAAACCTGTACTATGACAGCTTTTATTCCCACTTTTTTTCAAGATCTTTGTAAAGTTTGACTCTCATTGTTTAGGTAAGAGATCTCTTTCAAAAAGAATCAGTTTTAATTACCAAAAGCTAGAAAACAATTCTAAATTAAAATACACAGTACATTCATGGATTTTATTTTTAGATCGGCATTTTAAGCAACATTCAGAAATTACCTGGTTCCTTTTGTGTACTCACCTTTTCAAGTTTCAGAGTCATTTACCTAGCTAATAAAGCAAATTCAAAGTCAATCTACAAGTAATTGTGCCAAGGTTAGATATAGCAAGAGGCAAGGACCTATGGTTAACATTGAAAAAATACAGAATAGGTGCTAATCTTAGGCAAATAACTAATTCTTCTCTAAGTTTAGTGAGTTGTATTTATAATCAATTTATAGCTCCACCGTCTTTCTTCTTTCATTTATTTTTGCTAGCAATAGTCAAACAGTCTAACATTTTTTTTTGCTAAGTTACCTACCATATAGAAATAGAAATCTGCTATGAAAAAAATAAGTCTGGTCAGTTTAGAAAATGTGATAATTATTAGTTCTTCATCAGATACTTTTCTAATGTGTTCAGTTTGTTGATTTCATAAAAAGTAAATATATTTTAGGTTACAGCTCCTTAATTTGTACCTTGGTTTAGTAGATGTTTGGGAAATAATCTGTTAAGTTAATGAATGAAGTGAATGAGTGCCAGTATTTTAACTTTTTAAGATAAATTTGAAGAGATGTGTTTGTCTGAAAATACCTGAGCTATGTCTGAAAATGCAAAGTGTAAACATTATCTTTAAAAAAAAAATTTGTTTGCTGTAGGCAAAATGTGATTATTCTAACTTCTTTGCTTCTGCATAAGAAAACATGATTCAGATCATGGAGCTATGTTGATATCCATAAGGCCAGCTTCCTCCATGAAAACTATAAACATTTTTCTGTTAGATTAGTAAAACCATAGATTTAGAGTGAGAAAGAGACCAAGGATTCTCCCATATTTATGATCATGGAATCATAGATTTAGAATTGAAAGAAACATTGAGGTTATCTCAAAGTCTTATGGAAATGGATGGGGGGGTACATATTGACTTAGAAAATCACAAATTGATATTATCTGTGTTGTATTTGTATTTATTTTGTTAAACAGTTCCCGTTTGCACTTTATTCAGGTTCAGGCTGCACTCTGGAGTCTTTCTGGCCATGAGCTTGACACCTCTGACTAGTCTACCCCATTTCTTTTATAAATGGGGAAACTGCAGAAGAAAAATGTTCAGCTCAAATGTTAAGAATGTAACAGCAAAATTAGGATTTAAACCCAAACCATCTGACTAAATGTATATTGCAATGTATTTCACAGCACTGTGAGAAGCTGCTAAACAGAACACGTCAGTCTGTATGCTGGATGTAAATAATTGCAGTTACAAACTGAAAATGTAAGTTCATCATTGGTCCACAGAGTTGAAAAGATGAATTGATATGTAAGATGGGAAAACTGTCCAGACCATAGTTTTTGGTCAAAATGATTAGCAACAATCAATCTGTTAAAGGAGTGAGATTGGAATAATCAATAATCCTGAGTCTTTGCACAGTAGTGCAAGTGGATACCCAACTCATTAAAATAATATTTCTAATAACTGAAAGTTATCATTGGAAATATCTGTATTGTATGTCTAAGCCCAATCCATCTAAGACATCTGGCTTAGCCTGACCTGACTCTGGATAGGTTAACATTCTAGCTAATCTCTACCATGTTTATTTTTGTGTAACCTAGACATTCTTTTCAACAGACATTAGTTATGCATCTAGTAGGAGGATTAAAAAAATATTTGGAGCAAAATAAAGTTAGAGCTATCTGCCTTGGGCAGGTGTCACCTTAGCTTTTTATCTATTTATTAGTTTTTTCATCCATCACAGATTTCTTGAACACTCACTGTGTACAAAGCCGACTGGGGAAATCAAATTCCCTACCCTCAAGGAGGTTACATACTATTAGGGAGAAGAATCATTTTAGTATGACAGTATTTAACGTCATTATTTATTAAAATTCGCTTGTACTATCACTCCTCAGAATTTTAATATAC